ACTTTGAACTTGGACTTAAAGCCTCCAAACTGTAAGAGAATAAACTCCTGTTGTTAAGGCCATCCCATTTGTGGTATATTCTTGTCAGAGTGGCACTAGGTAACCAGAACAATGTTTCACCAAATGAATGTAATGGTGGAGGCGCTGATTTGTTTATGCCAAGAAATTTGGAAGACAGCTACTTGGCCAACCGACTGGAAGAGATTTGTGCCCAATCTAAAGAAAGGTGATCCAACAGAATGTGGAAATTATTGAACATTATCATTAATGTCACCCACAAATAAAATTTTGCTAATAATTTAAAAATGGTTGCAGCAGCATATCGAGAGGGAATTGCCAGAAATCCCAGCTAGATTCAAAAGAGGACATAGAACAAGGAATATCACTGCTTAATGTCAGATGGAGGTTGGCTGAAAGCAAAGAATATCAGCAAGATGTTTACCTGTGTTTTATTGACTGTGTAAAGGATTCGACTTTGTGGATCATAACAAATTATGAATAACATTGTGAAGAGCGGGAATTCCAGAACACTCACTTGTGCTCATAAGGAACCTCTACATAGAATAAGAGGCAGTCATTTTAACAGAACAAGGGGACACTGCATGGTTTAAAATCAGGAAGGTGTATGTCAGGGTTGTATCCTTTTCCCATACTTATTTAATGTGTATACTGAGCAAATATTCTGAGAAGCTGAACTATATTCAGAAGCACATGGCATAGTGATTGGAGGAAGACTCATTAACAACGTGTGACAGACAGATGACACAACCTTGCCTGCTGAAAGTGAAGACTTGAAGCACTTCCTGATGAATATCAAAGACCACAACTTTCGATATGGATTACATCCCAATATAAAGAAAACAAATATCCTTACAACTGGACGAATAAGCAACATCATGATAAATGGAGAAAAGATTGAAGTAGTCAAGGATTTCATTTTACTTGGATCCACAATCAATGCCCATGGAAGCAACAGTCAAGAAATCAAAGAACCTACTGCATTGGGCAAAGCTGCTGCAAAAGACCTCTTTAAAGTGTTAAAGAGCAAAGATACCATGTTGAAAACTAAGGTGCACCTAACCCAAGCCATAGTATTTTCAGTAGCTTCATATACATGTGAAAGCTGGAGAATGCATAAGGAAGACCACAGAAAAATTTATGCATTTGAATTATGGTGTTGACAAAGAACATTGAGTATACCTTTTACTGCCAGATGAACAAACAAATCTATCTTGGAAGAATTACAGCTGGAATGCTCCTTAGAAGTGAGAATAGTGAGACTTTGTCTCTCAAACTTTGGTCATGTTTCCAGGAGGAACTCGTTCCTGGAGAGGGATATCATACTTGGTAGATACAGGGTCAACTAAAAAGAGGAAGAGCCTCAACGGGATGGATTGACCCAGTGGCTGCAACACTGGGCTCAGGCACAGAAAGGATTGTTTGGATAGCACAGGATCAGGCAGTGTTTCTGTCTGTTGTACATAGAGTCGCTATGAGTTGGATTCCACTGGATCAACCTAACAACAACGACAACAACAAAGTTACTTACATTGTCCAAGGAAAGGATAAAAATATTCGTTAACATCAGATGTCAACAAAGATGAACATTGTAGTTTCCTGGATAACCACAAATTAACAGAGGAAAAATGTAATGATGAAAAATATCAGAACTTTAAAGGAAGGCAAGAACTTTAAAGGAAGGCAAGAAAAGAAAGATGAAAACACAAAACAGGTGGCACAAGAAAAAAGGGCATAGTACAATGGCTTTAAACTCCAATAGATTAGTAATTATAGTAAATGAAAAAAAGAGTAAATTCTCTCATTATCAGACTTGCTTTAAAAATAGCAACTTTTTTTTTTTTTTTTAAATAAGAGACATCTGTTAAGGATACTAAAAGATTTAAAGTGAAAGAATGCGCCACTAATCAAAAGAAAGCTGTTGTGGCTATTCTAATATTTGACATGGTGCTCCTAGAGCTGTATTCAGTGAATGATTGTCACCCGGGAGCTGTGGTTTGGCTTTGGGAGATCTCTATGAGTCAAGGGGGCAATGAGGCAGAGAAAGAGCATGCTAAAATGCAAGAAAGTTTGAAGTGCAGTTCAAGGTGATTTTTAAATCCATATAGTTAAGCCTAGCCCATTTCTTTTCTTTTTTTTTTTTAAGTGATGGTTGCACAACATTGTTAATATAATTAATGCCAGTGAATTGTATATTTAATAATGGTTAAAATAAATGTTATGTTAAACATTGTGATGGTTCATGTTATGTGTCAACCTGGCTAGGCTATGATTCCCAGTAGTTTGGCAGACATTAGATTCATTACTCTTCTATTATATAATATGATCATCTTCCATTTTATGAGTTGATGTGAGCAGCCAATCAGTTGAAAGCCAGATTTCTTAGAGGTGAGGTCTGCATCCAGTATGTATGGATGTTCTGGCAAAGCTCGCTCTCTCTTGATTCTGCCTCCAACTCTTCATTCTCTGATCTCTGGCTTTTGGGATGTGAGCCAGCTGCCTGCCATCTGACCTGCTGATTTTGGGTTCATCAGTCCCTGCAACCACGTGAGTCAGGAGAAGCCTCCAACCTGATGCCTGACCCACAGATTTGGGACTTGCCAACCTCCATAACTACGTAAACCATTTCCTTGAAATAAATCTCTCTCTCTCTACATACACTTCATAGGTTTTGCTCTTCTGAAGAACTCAGAAGAACACTATGTATTTTACCACAATAAAAAATGTAATCCATATAGGATATATTTAATGAGATATTTTATATTCATCTTTTCATACTAAATCTTGGAAACCCAATATGTTTTATTTTTGTTGGACATCTCAATTTGGACTGGCCATATTTTAAGTGCCACGTGAGCTACATGTGGCTAGCATTCACTGTATTGGTCAGTACAGGTTTACAGTATGTGACAGACATTTGTCTCCCCAGTATTCATTCTTCTTTTTATTATAGACTCCCTTTCCCACGTTTAACAAGGTTGTTAACACAAATGCTCAGCTTACGGCATTATTGCCCAATCTCTGAAAATCAGGTGTGGCCACGTATATTACTTTTCTACTACAGTGTAAAAAACTACCACAAATTTAGCAGCTTAACACAATACCCATGTACCTCTCTATTCTGTAGGTCAGAAGTCTGGGTAGGCTGAACTGGATTCTCTGTTCATGATCATGCAAGGGCAAAATCAAGGTGTCTGCTGGGCTGGGCTCTTACCTAGAGGTTCTGAGGAAGAATCCCCTTATAAGCTCATTCAGATTTTTGGCAGAATCCAGTTCCTGTGGTTTAAGGTCTGAGGTCCCACATATTCTTGCTGGCTATTAGCATTTCTCAAGACAGAATGACAGAATCCAGTTCCTGTGGTTATAGGTCTGAGGTCCCACATATTGCCCATCAACAGATGAATGGATAACCTAACTATGGTACATAAACACAATGGAACACGATGCAACATTAAAGAATAATGAAGAGTCAGCAAATCACTTCATAATGTGGATGAACTTGGAGGACATTATGCTGAGTGAAATAAGTCAATCACAGAAGGATAAATATTGTATGAGTCCATTATTGTAAAAAGTCAAAGAAAGGTTTACATAGGCAGTTTTCTTTGTTGGTTAACAGGGATGGGAGGGTGAGGAAGGGAAGGAAGGAAATCAGATGATAATAAGAGACAGTTTGATTTGGGTGAAGGGATTTATAATAATAACAATAAAAATAGAAACAAAATAAAAAGACAGAATTACTGTATGGTACCAAGCCCAAGCACTCATTTGAATCTTTTTTATTTGCAGATTGAATCACCGGACAATGCCATATGCATTATGGATACTGTGGGCCTTGGGGGCCATAATCAGCCTCTCCAAAGAAGGGTCCCCTTATCCGGGTTCTCTGTCTTGTGACCCCACAGGTGTCTGCAATGGCTCCTCCAGATATTTAAATTCCATTCCCTCAGGGCTCACAGCAGCTGTGAAAAGCCTCAATCTGTCCAACAACGAGATTGCATATATCAGCAACACTGACCTGCAGATGTGTGTGAACCTCAAAGCTCTTATTCTGAAGTCCAACGGGATTAATAGAATAGATGAAGATGCTTTTTTATCCCTTGGAAGGCTTGAACATTTGGACTTATCCTATAATTACTTATCTAATCTATCATTCTCCTGGTTCAGGCCCCTTTCTTCCTTGCAGTTCTTAAACTTACTGGGAAATCTTTACAAAGAACTTGGGGAAACATCTCTTTTTTCTCATCTTATAAATTTGCGAGTCCTGAAAGTAGGAAATGCTTACATGTCTAAGATTCAGAAAAAGGATTTTTCTGGAATAAGTTTTCTTGAGGAACTTGAGATTAATTCCAATCTCCAGAGTTATGAACGAAAAAGCTTGAAGTCAGTTCAGAAGATAAGACATCTGATACTTTATATGAAACAGCCTCTATTACTGCCAATGATTTTTGTAGATCTTTTAAATTCCTTGGAATATTTTGAACTGAGAGATACCGATTTGTATACGTTCCGTTTTTCAGAACAACCCATCAGTGAAATCAACTCATCAATTAAAAAGTTTACATTTAGCAATGTGGAAATCTCCGATGAAAGTTTTAATGAAGTTGTAAAAATGCTCAGTTATGGGTCTGAATTGTTAGAATTAGAGTTTGATGACTGTACCCTTAATGGAATTGGTGATTTTGATTCATCTATTATGGAGAAAATTAAGTATCCAGGTAAAGTAGACTCGTTAATAATACGGAGGTTGCATATTCCAAAGTTTTACTTATTTTATGATTTGAGTAGTTTATATGCACTCACAGGAAATGTTAGAAGAATCACAATAGAAAACAGTAGGGTTTTTCTGGTTCCTTGTTTACTTTCACAACATTTAAAATCATTAGAATACTTGGATCTTAGTGAAAATTTGATGGTCGAAGAATACTTGAAAAATTCAGCTTGTGAGGGTGGCTGGCCCTCCCTACAAACCTTAATTTTACGGCAAAATCATCTGACATCATTAGAGGAAACTGGAGAAACTTTGCTTACTCTGAAAAACCTGACTAGTCTTGATATCAGTAAGAATAACTTTCAGTCTATGCCTAAAATTTGTCGTTGGCCACAAAAGATGAAATATTTGAACTTATCCAGCACACGAATACATCGTTTAACCCAATGCATTCCCCAGACACTGGAAATTTTAGATGTTAGCAGTAACAATCTCAATTCATTTTCTTTGACTTTGCCACAACTCAAAGAACTTTATATTTCTAGAAATAAGTTGAAGACTCTACCAGATTCTGCCTTCTTACCTATGTTACTAGTCATGAGAATCACCAGCAACACAATAAATACTTTCTCTAAGGAGCAATTTGATTCCTTTCAAAAACTGAAGTCATTGGAAGCGGGTGGAAACAACTTCATTTGCTCCTGTGAATTTCTGTCTTTCACTCAGGAACACCGAGCACTGACTGAGGTCCTGACTGACTGGCCAGAAAGCTACCTGTGTGACTCTCCGTCCCATGTGCGAGGCCAGCGAGTTCAGGACACGCATCTCTCAGTTGCCGAGTGCCATAGGGTAGCCCTAGTGTCTGCTGTGTGCTGTGCCCTTCTTCTGTTGATCCTTCTCACTGGGGCTCTGTGCCACCGTTTCCATGGCCTGTGGTACATGAAAATGATGTGGGCCTGGCTCCAGGCCAAAAGGAAGCCCAGGAAAGCACCCAACAGGGAAATCTGTTATGATGCCTTTGTTTCTTATAGTGAAAAGGATTCTTACTGGGTGGAGAATGTTATGGTCCAGGAGCTGGAGAACTTTGATCCCCCCTTTAAGTTGTGTCTCCATAAGCGGGACTTTGTTCCTGGCAAGTGGATTATTGACAATATCATCGATTCCATTGAAAAGAGTTATAAAACTGTCTTTGTGCTTTCTGAAAACTTTGTGAAGAGTGAGTGGTGCAAGTATGAACTGGACTTCTCCCATTTTCGCCTCTTTGATGAGAACAATGACGCTGCCATTCTCATTCTTCTGGAGCCAATTGAGAAGAAAGCCATCCCCCAGCGGTTCTGTAAACTGCGGAAGATCATGAACACCAAGACCTACCTGGAGTGGCCCGCTGATGAAGTTCAGCAGCAAGGGTTTTGGTTAAACTTGAGAGCTGCATTAAAGTCCTACTAGTTCCCTTCATTAAAGGACAGTTTGTGTCTAGTTCTGGAATGTATAGCACTAGTTGTTACTAAGTTCTAATATAACTATATAAAAACCACACGAACGTACATTATTTGAGGACTTATTAAAACTACTAAACTGTTAACATTTTATGTGGAATAATGTTTGATAAATACTGCTACCAGATTGAGAAACGGCTTTTAGTTTTTCTTTACTCTTTAAGATAATCATGATCTAAGTACATTATTGATAACTGAATTATCTGTAGTGATTGGCTTATTCATTAGGAAATAGCAAATGAGACGAGGGTTTGAAATGAACGTGTCAAGTCAGTCAGCTCTCTGTGAGGAGACTCATTCATGTCTGCTTAGGCAGTGTGTTCTTTGTCCCATCCAGCTAACACTACTTTCTGGGCCACTGCTCGAAAGAGCAAGAAGACAGAATACTGGGATCACTCAGCCAAACTTGTTGGTATTTCCCCAAGAATGTACTATTTGATCCCATCAAAATTTATAGGATAGGTCCTTAGAGGGTGTAATTTCCTGTGAATTAAGTTTGTCTCTTGGTTATTTGAAAGGTTTCTTTAGCCACAGTTCTTGAGAGAGGTTACATAACACAAAATACAGTTAATTATGTCTTTCCATTGTTGTTGTCGTTATTTGCCGTCGAGTCGGACCCGACTCATAGCAACCCCTCCTTGGGTTTCTAAGGCAGTATCACTATGGAAGTAGATTGCCCAACCTTCCTTCCTAGGAGTGGCTGGTGGGTTTGAACTGCCAGCCTTCTGGTTAGCAGTCAAGTGCCTTAGGCACTATGCTACCAGAGCTCCTGTCTTTCCATTAAAAAAATAAAATTATTAAATGTGAAAAAAATTCTCAGTGTATGAAACTTTGAAAGAGGTCTCTCATATCCATGACTCTGTTCTTCCTTCAGTCTTTAACTAGTTGTTAAATTCTAATTAGTCTCTAGTTTCTCTTTATTTGGCTCTCAATTCCTGCTTTCAAGTCTGTCTCCCCTCTTTCTTGTTTGGTTTTATTCTTTGCAAAGGCTTATTTCTAATCCTAAAGTAGCTTTACTTTTTGTGATCCTTTCTAAACAGTTAAAAAAGTTTATGTGAGCTAAATAGATTTTTAAACAAGATGGGGTTGTAATGAGTTGGAATCAACTTAATGGCAAATGACAACACTAATATACCTGGAAGAATTCTGGTGGTGCTGTGCTTAAAGCACTGGGCTGCTAACCAAAAGGTCAGCAGTTCGAATCCACCAGCTGCTCTGTGGGAGAAAGATGAAGCTGTCTGTTTCCATCAAGATTTACAGCTTTGCAAACCCTATGGGGCAGTTCTTCACTGTCTTGTGGGGTCATAATCAGTAAGAATTGACTCGATGGCAGTGGGTTTGGTTTTGGTTTTAATATAGCTGCAGGCTCCTCATAATGACTCAGAAAATAGTTTAATATACAATGATTTAAAAGATATATACCACTGCATACCTTAATTTTATAATCTAGATTTAATAATGGGAGCTCTGGTAGCATAGTGCCTAAGGCACTTGACTGCTAATCAGAAGGCTGGCAGTTCAAACCCACCAGCCACTCCTTGGAAGGAAGATGGGGCTATCTACTTCCATAGTGATACTGCCTTGGAAACCCAAGGAGGGGTTGCTATGAGTCGGGTCCGACTTGATGGCACATAACAACAACAACAGATTTAATAATACATCAAAAACAAATTCAACGTTGGGATCATTGCAAAAATCAAACACATGAAAGAATACTAAATGTAGAAGAAAAGATTTAAAAATATTCCAACAGGCAATATATTGCTTCTGAGGTAGTCTGCTGGACTATTCCAGCCCTAGTGAATAGTTAATGCCTTGAACGATTCCTATCACCACAGGTTGCCAGGCCACCAAATAACGAAGCCAATCCAGGATTTGCCCATACAAAAAATGTGTGCGCTCCCAGCTAAATCTTAGTTAAGGAGGATGTGCTATATACATTCAAATAGCAGAAATTTCCATAAATGTCATTTGCAAATATAAGAAGCAATATAATAAACTGGTATTCTCCTTGTTAATTCTTACTAATTCCATGATTTTTATAGATGAATAATATTGTTATTTACACCACACTTGCTATTGAGCCTCAATAAAATACCAAAATATAAAGCAAGAATATAAGGCAAGGGTCATATACTAAAAGGAGGAGGTAGAGGAGGGGAATGATTATCTTGAAAAACCAAGGATAATGGAAATAACTATAATGGAACAAACACTTAGCCTTGGACTTTCCTACAGTCAGCTCATCACAGGATACTCACTGAATATTAAAAAGAATCACATCAGTTCAAGAGATAAGACAAATGTTTTCCTGGCTATAATCTTTAAAATATTGTATTTAAGGAAGTTAAGTAACACACAGTATCTCTGGTGACAATTTTAAAAATGAAAAAGCAGATATTTCATATGTAGCTTTTTCTTAAACTATATATCAATAAAAAGTGTAATTTTTATTTTCAAAAATTTACTCTCTGAAGAATATATAAAGATACCAATTGCCCTTTGTTATTTGCACTATCATTTAAGGTGACATTTCTGATTACATTAAGTGCTGAGTTTATATATATATATATATAAAGATTTATGTAGTGCAGTTTTATAAGTTAAGTCATTAACCAAAGCCTGTTTTGGACCTGCCTCCTCATATTAGAAGGGAAAGTCAGGGACAGTGGATGAAAAAGAATGAGAAGGGCATCATGTACCTTTAGCCTTGAGTTGTTCCTGAATTGCCCTGACTCACCAAGAAAGACCAGGCCTGGAGATGGAGCTGGTGGATGCCACAATGTGTTCTCTGTTGCTGTGGCATGGCTCTAAGACCCAAAGATCCCTCTGTGCTGCCCTATTCTCTGATGCCCTACTTAAGAGTCTTTTCTTTGATTTGCAGTGCTCAGAGATGAGAGCACTGCTGTCAGTAACCACTGTTAACCTGTGCATTTAGGGTTGGTGAAGAGTAGGGGGAGCATTGAGCAAGGAGACTGTAAAATTCAAGAAACTGTTATCCAGAAAGTACAAAAAAGCTCTCTCTTATGAAAAGTGAGGATACTTGGCAGATTGGTGCCTACTTCTCTGAGTTCTTCTGCTTATGAGGTGGGGAGAGGTGACGGTTGCTATATTTTTACCCCATTTACACCCCCTCCCCCCAGGAGAGATATAATACAGTTTTGTGACTGTGGATTGCTGATTAAGCCACTACCTTCCTGTGACTTTAAAGAGATTTGGGTTTATTCATTTGGGGATCCCTGGTGCCTATAAAAACCCTAGTTGCTGCCAAGAGCTGAACAAGTCTGTAGGTATTAATTTTCTTTCAATAATAGTCTCACCAATGTTTAGTCTGAGAAACGATGAAGAATGGCAAGGAATAAAAAAACAAACAAAAAGCACACCAAAATCAAAGGAAAAAATCCTACTTACCTCTAGAAATAATAAGTTGGTATACTCTAAAAGTAATTTTCTGTGCTCTAGTTCATATTTTGGGATTAAAAATGGTCAATTCCAATCTGTTTATTTTATCTACCCACCCACCCCACTTATCCTATCCATCCACCCATCCACCCACCCACCCATCCATCCATCCATATCTGTTATGTATTTTGCCATTTCATCTATTTATTTTTTACAGGGTTCTGTCACTATATCCTCACAGTGGAAAATATGAAAGATAAATAGTGGAATGTATCTTCTGTTGCCCTTAACTTCCTACCCAGTATAATAATACAGACACAGAGAAGAAAAGAGACCAATAAAATTGTTTTGGAATAGGTAGTTTGGGAAAACAGAAAGTTTCTGCTATAACTATACAAAGATAATGAAAGTTCACACTAAAAAATGCATCACCAGAAACATTTGAGAAAATACTATAATTTTTTGTTTAAAAGGATACGGGTTACTGATCATCCTCTTCAAATCAACTTTCTCTTTGCAGTATGGGCAAGTCTGCTTTTTACCAACAATACACCAACCTCGGATGCAGAATTCATGAAACCTTAGGCATCTTGTTAGGGAAACTTCTCGATGTCAAAGAGCAATGCCTGGTTCCTGACAACAGAATGGAAATGATCTCATCTATAGGATCTAGTTGTGGAGGGTGAGAATGGTTGTCAGGCATGACTTGATTATGTATATCTCACTTTTGGGGAGATTACTGTAGGACAAGAGTGGATTACTCAATAAACAAGGTAAGCATGGGCTTGCTTGTGCTTATTGTTGTTGTTGTTTTGTGCCATCGAGTCGGCCCCGACTCATAGCGACCCCTCCTTGGGTTTCCGAGGCAGTAGGATTGCCCAACCTTCCTT